AGAATGAGACACTTAAGCAAACAATTTTGATGTGAAATTAGCTAAACTAGGAATATAATTTTATTGCACAATTAAAACATATATATAAGAAACAGATGGGCTAAATGTGATAACGTGATTAGGCTAGATTATTTAAGCAGGTTCAAGGCTTTAAAGATGCTTCTAACATAAGGGCAATATCCCAGAAAATGGACGAGAAAATTAGATGTACCTGCTGAAAGATTTCCTCCGAGTTTTTAATCATCTCCTCATGCATATCCCATGAGTCATTGCCATTTGGACTGGTCAGACAAAACTGTTCCACTTTCTCAAGCTGGTGGACTCTAAAAATTCCAAGTGTGTTGCGACCATGTGAACCAGCTTCCTTGCGGAAGCATGTAGAGTAGTATCCAGCATACCTGGTGAATGGCATAGATAAGTCCATAAAAGCCAACGACAATAGAGGCAATAAAGAACAAACTTAATACAACATTAAGATCATACGAAATACCAAACATATACACTATTGAATATCACATACTTCAACAATATACATTTATTAGTTGGTCCTCTAATGGAACCCAAACCCAAACCCAAACTGTTAGCATACCGGAACGTGGTATTCGATCCAATGTTTATGTCGGAACGTGGCAACCGATTCCATATTTATACCGGAGCATGGCAACCGATCTCAGTTAGTTATACCGGAACGTGGCAACCGATTCCAATTAGCTATGCCGGAACGTGGCAACCGATCCATTCAACACACCACAATCACAATCACAAATATATTCTTAATAATCATACAATCAAGAAGTGATTCATGGCGTATAGTTATTCGTTCATACTCATACAATTAGTGTGATCAACAGTGCAACATTCACATACATACATGCATCATAATGAAGCAAGAACAAACCTATATCACACAATCATGAAATCACAACTATCACTTACCTCGAATCCAAGCTTGAATCCCTTAAGGCACTTGAATCTTCTCTTTCCGGATTATTTTCGCTTGTTCTAGGTCTACAAACGATTAATAAACGCAAGGATCAACAATCAGATGTCCAATTATCCGGATTATAACAAACCCAATAACCATACACCAAACCATTGATCCCCGATACCCAGATTAGGGTTTTTTCCACTATAATTCTCAAATCAAAACCCTTCCCCATCGATAATAACCCAAGAAAATAGGTTATACGGATCGAAAAATGAAAATCTTACCTTTAGCCTCAAGAATGATGAAAAACTATCAAGAACTTGTCTAGGGTCGTCTCCTAGCTCTCAAAGTAGAAAAGTGTAGAATAAATACGTTTTGGGGTTTTATTTCCGACTTAAGTCGCGTTGAACCCGCCACAACGGTCCTCACCCCGCCACAGTGACCCCGCCCTAGCGGTAGAAATCCCGTCCCAGCGTTTTGCATGAAACAGTAAGCTATTTTAATTATTCCCAAAACCCCCATTTCACAACACACCTTCAATCAATGACACTCAAAAAATATTGTTCACGCCAAGATCAATTTCGGGAGTTCTACTCGCCCGAATTCAATTCCGTAAAGTCGTACGGGTTCCTCTTGGCTATCTACTCACGTAAATAAAATAATAATTAAATCTCTCATTCATCACCAGAGTTCCCTAGTCCTCACTAATTCAGATTTCGTCCAAATCTGGATTAGATTAGGAATTCCCAAGTTACTACCAAAAAATTTTCTTGCCCCAATTCTTTCCCCATTGGTTTTTTCCTAACGACAAAATCAGGTCGTTACATAGCCTCATTCTTATAAACCTTCCTTGCACTTCATGCGTTTGATGTTTTCCAAGTATTCTTATGATGAATCATTTTTAAAGTGAATTAGTATAATCATTAAGAATCAATAAAGAAAATAGATCATGAATAAATATGTAGAGTCTAGTAAAGAATACCCGATAAGATTATGACATATTTATAATTCTTTAACCTTCAATGGCTTTGGTGCTCGTATTATTTACCATCACCATTACTATTACTAGCATCTAAGACCAACTATTATCATCACCATGGTGATAAATTATCTTTATCAGTACTAGCGAACATAAATATTTTATACTTTATCAAATAATAATTTAATTTTATTAAATTCATATTTTCTAATATTTAATTACTTTTTACCCGAGAAATATATATATTTATTATGTTTACAAATAAAAAAATTATACATATTCAGATGTTGGAAAACAAATAGTCTTAATCATCTAGTGTTTAGATCTAGAGAAAATATCTTAATATTCAGATGTGCATTAAGATTCGGACGTTTTAATCTTTATGAAAACATATGAGGTCTAAGTCTTTAAAAAGGGGTAAAAATGTCGAGCATTTTTCTATGGACATTTTCGTCTTTCAGTTTTTTATTTAACACTTCCCACTTTGAACATTTACTATATGATAAGCTTTTTATTTAATATTCAATTAATTAGATATTTTATAATTTTTTATTGAGTGGAGGGGTAAATGGTAGTCCAACTTTAAAGGTTGGAGCTTCTCACTTTTAATAATTTAAATATAAATATAAATGATGATATGATATATAATATATGATTAATATATTTTTTATTGAGTGGAGGGGTAAAATGGTAGTCCAACTTTAAAGGTTGGAGCTTCTCACTTTTAATAATATAAATAAATATAAATATAAATATAAATATAAATGATGATATGATATATAATATATGATTAATATATATATTTTTTACGGAAAAGGGTCAAAATTGCCCCCGAACTATATGAAATAGATCATTTATACCCTTCGTTACATTTTGGGATAAAAATGCCCCTGCTGTTATCCTAAGAGACCACAAATACCCTCAAGAGTTAACACCCCAATTTTTTATTGATGTGGCAAGCCACGTGGGACTAATCCTTTCACCTAAGCGTTGCCAACTAGGATTCACTACAAAGAACTAGACCTTTAGCGGCAACAACAGTCGCCACAAAAGTCCAGAAAATCGTCACTAAAAGTTTTTAACATTAAATTCTAATTTTGTGTTTTTTTCTTCATTGTTTTTAAAAACCAAATATGATATCGATTAAGTAGGAGTTTGAAGACACTATATGTTTTATTTTTATGTCATATGTAAATGTATAAAATGTACAATGATGCATTATATATATATATAGTAGGAGATTTGAATCGAGACGTAATTTTGATTATTTTTCGTAATAATATTGGATGTTTTTAATATGGATATTGCAAGTTATTTATTCTAGAAAATTAGGTCGCAATCGAAAATTAATTATCATATTTTTTTGTTGAAAAAATAGGTTTTACTAGCGAATGGTTGTTGGAGCCTTAGTCGCCACTAAAAATCACTCATAACCTTTAGTGGCAATATTTTGGGAATTTGTGGCGACTTTGTCGCCACTAAAAGTCAAGTTCTTTTGTAGTGAATCTTAGTTGACAATACTTAGGTGGAGGGATTAGTCCCATGTGGCTTGCCACGTCACTAAAAAATTGAGGTGTTAACTCTTGAGGGTATTTGTGGTCTCCTGGGATAACTGCGGGGGTATTTTTTATCCCAAAATGTAATGGAGGGTATAAGTGGTCTATTTCGCATAGTTCAGGAGCAATTTTGACCCTTTTCCGTATTTTTTAAATTAGGTCACAAATTTATTAATAAAAGAAGAGAATTACAAATGTGTGTTAGTGGGTTAGCCCAAAATGCTCAGCCCATTAACTTAATTAACTAAGCAAATCAGACAAAATTAATTAACAGAGAAAAACATGAATGAATTAGGAAAGTGAAGAGACAAGGGGTTCAAGAACAGTCAACTCTGGCGAGCTCTTTCCGGCGAAGGTCTGTCTTTCGCTATGGTTTCATATATGATTAGTAATATATATGATATGATGATGATATATACATTGATTATCAATCATAACTTTTCAAATTCTTCCGTTATGAGAATTAAGATTATAATTAAAAACAATATCAATATACTTATTTATCAAGAAAGTAATAATTTAATTATTAAAAGGCTTAAAGATTTAAATTCTACTATTATGTGATTAAAATATTTGTATTTAATTAAATAATTAATTAAATTTTAATTTAATAAAAGGGTAAAATAGTAATTCTAACTTTTTACTTTGGAATTAAAAATACAAATGGAAATCCAAATTAGAAATACATAAGGGAACCAAATCAGTTTTTTTTTTGTTTGTTCTTATAAAAAGACATTGCGTAGTATTTGGTAAATAGGATAAAGTAAAAACGCAAAAAACATATACCCTAAGGCAGGATGGCGGAATTGAAATTGGAATCGGAATTGGGGACGATGATGGGTCTAGGGCTAAATTTTGATGGTGATGTGAAAAGGGATGCGAGTGGGAAAATAATGGGATGTTTTTGTGCTTTTGATGTAGAGCCATCGCCACAAGGTTGCGAGTTATGCAATAGGCCCCCTCTCCATCCCGACGACGAGGAGAACTTCACCTCGGCTATGCAATTGGTACTTTGAAGGAGCACCGTCCGTATATCGATGAAATTCGCATCAAATACTATCAACAAATCCATGAATCCTATGTTTGTTTCCTTCCCTTTTCAATTTATGCTGCTTTCATTCATATTGCTTCCTATATTTGAAATAGGAAAAATGAAAAAAATGGGGGGTTTTAGGTCTGATTTCATATTATTGAGTGTTCCTCTTGCAGACACGTCTATTATAATTCTCGTGTATCTTATGCCCATCCATTGGAATTCTCTTTGATATTGTTTCTTCCAGCTTTGATATTGTGTTGTCTCTGCTTGCTTGTTTGAATTGACAGGGTTTCGACTTTTATGATTTTCCCGGTGTGGAAGTTCAAATAGAACCAATTTTGAATGTCAAGGATGACGTTGACTTTGGGATAATGATGAAACTAGCTAACCGTGCCATTCAAGAATACAATGAGAAAGAGCACAATGTATGTATGCCCCCTTTCCAGCTTTACCTTTTGTGATATTTTAACTCTCCCTCACTCCTACTATCCCTCCTTGCAGGTTTTCAAGTATAAGGTTTTGAAGATTGAGAAAGCGAATTGTATGATAGGAGGATATGAACAGTATTTCATGACGGTTAAAGTCTTAAATCTCACCATTGGTACTTCTATTGAAACCTTTTACATCAATGTTGCTAGAAGAATCCCTGACCGTTTTGAAGAAGTCCTTTCATGCAATCCAAAAGGAATGGTAAAGCACTGAATGATGATCACATGCTGCTCTTTTTTTTTTTCTTGCAAGAAACACACTTGTGCTGAATAACTAACTTAACTGTGTTTTGTTTCTCCCGAACTAATTTGCAGGTGCCGGAGTTTAGCATATTTGGCAAGAAGAAACGTTGAATGGAAAGAGGAGTGTCGTGAGAGGATAGGAATGGGCACCTGAGCTTTAGTTTGAACTCTGTTCAAGATTTCAGCATCTTACTTTTGATATATGAACTGAACTGTATTAGTGTTATGACACCATGTGGATGGTTATTCTTCTTCCAAGTTTACTACTGTTTGAGAACATTTCAGTTTATGTAGTTGCAAGTGATGTGGATGGTACTATATTGTTGAATTGAATGCTATAATAGTTAGTTGATTACGCTTTGATAGTGTGTGAAACATTCTCTATTGTGTGTGAAATGGTCTCTTGATGTAAGGAAGAAGGCAATGATGGTGGAATTTACTTTCCATTCACAACTCTATATGTAATGGGATTGCTTTCTTCCAAGTTTTCTACTGTTTGAGAACATTTCAGTTTTTGTAGATGAAAGTGATGTGGATGGTATGTGTATTGTCGAATCGAATGCTATAATAGTTGGTTGATTATGTTTTCACTTTTACAAGTATTTGTGGTTGACCTTATTATAATCTGATTCAGAAGCCAAGTATTACTGGTCGGGCAGATGACAGATCTGTGTTGAAGTCCAACCAAACTAGTAGACCTCTTACCAGCAGCGCGGAAAGAGGAGTGCTCTTAGTTCATGTTCCAGATTACAAATCCTAGAAGAAAATGCCATTAAGACCCCCTCAGAAGTACGAGAGAGCGCATCAGCAGCCTGGTTCAATTTGCCCGGGCGATACATGATCTGAAAATCGTAGCCAACAAGCTTACTAAGCCATTTTTGCTGCTCCGGCGTTGCATAGCCTGATTGGTTAAGTTCTTCAGGGATTGCTGGTCAGTATAGATAGTAAACTTACGCCCCAATTGATATTGACGCCACTTACTCACTGCTTGAGTGATGGTGAACATCTCTCTATGATAGTTGGAGGCTCCCTGCATCCGAGTACTTAATTTTTGGCTGAAATAGGCCACTGCATGCCCTATTTGGGACAACACGGCTCCTATGCCTCGACCAGAGGCATCAGTTTCAAGCTGAAATTCTTGAGAGAAATTCGGCAATGCCAAGTACCTCATAGAACTAAGCTTATCTTTCAATGTCTCGAATACAATGAGGGCTGTAACATCCCATACAAATGCATATTTTCGTAGAAAATCTGTGAGAGGCCCTGCTATTGCTGCATAATGGTGGATAAAGCGATGATAATAGCCTGCCAGGCCAATAAAACTGTGTATTTCCTTTATATTCTTAGGCGGAAGGCCACTGCTGGATGGCCTTAATTTTACTTGGATCGATATCACATGCCCAAGATACTCTTCCCGAATAGGCATTTGGCTCTCTTTGCTACAAGTTGGTGTTGGCGCTTAATGTGATCTGTCCAGTTTAAGCAATTTTTTGGATAGTGCAAGAATGTTTTTTGTTCACTTATATAACACAATGATGTACTTTAAGTTTAAGTCATAGTTCAGGAATGATTTTAGCCAAAAACTCATATTTGATACATCAAATTATTACTAGATAAAAATAAATAGATACATGAAATTTATCATAGATCATCTATATCCTATATCTATATCTATATCTATATTACCTTAAAAGAATGAACTCCTAACTTGAATTTTAAATTACTATAATATCCCTAACTTATGTTGTGACTTTTTCGATGAGTTGTGACTTTTTTGATAAGTTGTGACTTTTTCCAAAGGGTTGTGATTTTTTGACGAGTTGTGACTTTCCAAATTGTTGTGACTTTTTTCAAAGGGTTGTGATTTTTCGATAAGTTGTGACTTTCCAAATAGTTGTGACTTTTTCAATAAGTTGTGACTTTTCTAAAGGGTTATGACTTCGCGGAAAGGTTATGACTTTTTCAGAGAAAACACAAAAAATACTTTTTTCATACCACCATTTGTTGACTAAATAGAGGGACTTCCTCTCATTTTTCAACCGCAATTTTTTTTAACTTCTACTCTTCTTATTGCATTTTAAAATTTTGTGTGATTTATTATCGTTGAGTGAATTCGAAGCTTAGTGGAATATGATGTACCACTATTCAAATGAAGTAAATCGTTTTATCCTAAGAGGTTATATTCCATAACCTCGAGTACTTGAGGAAAATAATTTTAATGATATAATAAATTTTTTTTTCTTAATATATACAACAATATGTAATGTTCCAATATATGAAGTTAACATGATGTAGTCTAAATTCATTTGTGCTTATTAACAGTTTATCTTGTGATTTAGATATATGCTTCTGAATATCTTTTTCTAAAATTTAGAGAATTTTCACGATTTGTTTTTTTATGCTCGAGACAAAAGAATGACTTTATTTCTGAATTGGTAATCGTGCAACGCACGTGTCAAAAAACTAGTTACTGTAAAAGAATGAACTCCTAACTTGAATGTTAAATTACTATAATATCCCTAACTTAGGTTATGACTTTTTCGATGAGTTGTGACTGTTTCGATAAGTTGTGGCTTTTTTCGAAGGGTTGTAATTTTTCGATGAGTTGTGACTTTTTCAATAAGGTATGACTTTTCCAATAATTTGCGACTTTTCCAAAGGATTGTGACTTCTCGAAAAGGTCATGATTTGTCAGATAAGACACAAAAAACATTTGTTCATACCATCCTTTGTTGACTATAAATAGAGGGACTTCCTCTCATTTTTCAACCACAATTTTTTTAATCTTCTACCTTTATTCTTCTTGCATTTTAATTTTTTTTTGTGTGATTTATTGTCGTTGAGCAAGTTCGAAGTTTAGTGAATATGAGGTACCACTATTCTGATGAAGTGATTTGTTCTATCCTAAGAGGGTATATTCCATAACCTTGAGTACTTGAGAAAAATAATTTTGATGATATAATAATTATTTTTTCTTAATATATACATTAGTATGTAATGTTCCAATATATGAATAAGTTAACATGATGTAGTCTAAATTCATTTGTTTTTGTTAATAATTTCTCTTCTGGTGTAGATATATGCTTTTGAATATCTTTTCCAAAATTTAGAGAATTGTCACAATTTGTTTTTGATGCTCAAGACAAAAGAATAACTTTATTTATCAATGCTACTTATGTGATTTAGACTCTCATGAAGTTTGCTTCAAAATAGTAATTACTATATAAGCATTGCCCTTTTGTTCTACTTATTTACTATTTCTTAATATTTCAGTATTTTAGACGAAGAAAAGTTCATATAACTTGTAATAACGTCAGTTGAAGATTGTACTATTTTAATTTTTTTTATTTATTTAATAGTTAATTTTATGAGAAAAATATCTTCATTAATGCAAATATATATTTATATTTGGGTAGGTATTTGTATTTAAATTAAAGTATTATATATGTCACAAATGTATTATCAAGTTAACAACATCTTCTAAACTTCAAAATATATTATTTTAAATGTTTTTTTTTTGTAATTGAATATATTATTTGAAAAATATATAAAATGTTTTTTTTGGCAATTGAATATATAAAATGTAGTTGTTCTCTTCACATGTTCATATGACATCTAAACAATTTAACGTGGAATACACATCCAAAGCACATCGGGTTAGATGACAAGAAAAATACAAAGCAAATATTGTCTATAAGGTAATATTAGTGAGATAAGACTAATTACATGATTAACCTCATCAAATTGAAATAAATATATACATTATTGCATTTAACTAATAAAATTTTTCATTGACCATCTTCATAGGTTTGCTAAATAAGAAATATATATATATGACGATCCACGTTGAACATTCACAAAAGAATCTGCTAAGCTTATTATTATTCAAATCTTCGCTTAAATAAGCAATACTATTTACTATAACATATATTTTTGGAATTGGTAATCACGTGCAATGCATATGTCAAAAAACTAGTATAAATAGATATGAACTTAATACTACATACTATGCACTCATGTATCTAAATATTTAGTTTGTTGGATACATCATATATTGATAATAGATACATCAAATTAATTAATTTAGAGTAATAAAATGAAATTAATCAGATTACATAACCAAGATATACACATTTTTGTCTTTTATTAATAATATTAATGAACTTATTATATCAAAAGTAATGAAATGAAATTAATTAAACATAAATATACTCCTTGATTTCCGTCTTATATTAAGGGATTTGTTTAATTTAAATTTTCTAGAATTAATTGTCCATATATTCTGAAAATCTTCAATTACAGCTTTATTTAATGAAATTAGTTACAACCATCTAATTCCCGAATAGGCATTTGGCTCTCTTTGCTACAAGTTGGTGTTGGCGCACCGACTGTAAGTGCTTAATGTGATCTGTCCAGTTTAAGCTGTACACCAAAATGCCATCGAAAAAGACCTACAAAGTGGTGGAGGTAAGGTCTAAAACCTTATTCATAGTGGCCTGGAATGTCAAAGGAGCATTGGACAATCCAAACGGCATAACTAAAAATTCATAATGCCCATCATGTGTACGAAAAACAGTTTCGTCCACATCCTCGGGTCTTACCCGAATCTGAAGATAGCCTGACAACAAGTCAAGCTTAGAAAAATAAACAGCACCCTGTAATTCATCAAATAATTCATCAATGGTTGGAATATGGAAATCTGTCTCTCACAGTGATTGCATTCAGGGCTCTATAGTCCACTCAGAATTGCCACGTACCATCTTTCTTTCGAACCAGCAATACTGGCGAAGAAAATGGACACGTGCTAGCCTGAATAATTCCCTCTTTAAGCATATCCACTACCATTTTCTCCCGACCCAACATAGACAACCATGTAACACCAAGCACAACATCTGCCCCATGCATCGCTAGTAAGTAAAAATCCAGAGTAAGACCACAACCCTGTACCGAGAGTAAAGTTGATCCTTCTAACTTTCTTATACTATTTCAATACAGAAAAAATCAGTTTCAAAGAGCTCTATTTATTCATATCACCTAATTTTAGGTATTGTGCGTCTTTCGAAATTTTAGATTCCAAATTTTTAACCGTTCTCCGTGTAAAAGGAAATTGCAACATGAATGTTATTCGAGAATTTAATGTAGAGCTATATTTTCATTCTGTTTGCATTTTTTCCCGTACCTTCCCCAAGTTTATACCCAAATGTCCTTACCTTGTTCAATTAACTTTGAGAAATTGTGACAACCTTATTGACTTCACATTCCCCCATCTCAATTATCTCGAAAAGCTTCATGTCAATAGTCGCAAAAAAAATAAAAAAACTTGAATTAAAAGCTCAAAATCTCCTCAAGTTTCACTTGTGTAGTTCAGCCTTCATCAAAATTGATTTGTCCGCTTCTACTAAACTACAACTCCTCCATATAGATTCTACATATTTCCCAACTCATTTTATATAATGTATAGAAATACTGAAATTGTAGTAAAATTAAGTGGATGTTTGGTTATGATAAAAAAAAAAAAAAACTTTATTTGAAATTTTTGCAAACAATATCTAGAATTTGAATATATTTGGTATGAACATGAT